AAGCAAATCCACATCTGTCGGAAGAAATTATGGAAGAGCACAGTAACATTCGCAAATACACAAATTGAAAATACGGACAAAGTTAAAACACTAGGAATTACCATAAACCAGCGCTCCACATGGAATACTCATATATACGAACTATGCAACGCACTGAGCAGCAGACTCAATATTATCAAATCTATATCTAATACCAAATTTTCTTGCAATACTCACTCGCTTATCTATATAGTCAAGAAAATAATACTAACCAAAATCGATTATGGTCTATACACCTATGGCTACTGCCCAAATAATTTTCTTAATAAAATTTCAACCATAATTAACTCCGCCATCAGAATGTCCCTAGGTGCATTCCGAACCACACCAATAAACTGTATGCTTACAGAAGCAGGTATTCAACCTATCACTTTCAGAAGGAGTCAGCTCAATCTCATGCTGGCCGTCGTGAACGCGAAAAGGCCCGTACATCTTCCGCAAAATCTTTCTTTTGAATACTCCAAGAGCCGCCTCATCGGCTGTTGTCATTGTCCATGCTTCTGCGCCATATACCAGCACGGGCATGATGAGTGATTTATAGAAAGAGGTTTTCGTACGTCGAGAGAGGACTTTATTCCTGAATTGCCTACTCAGTCCAAAGTCGCAATTGTTTGCAAGTGTGATTCTGCGTGGGATTTCCATGCTGACATTATTATCGGTGTTAATACTGGTTCCCAAGTAAACGAAATTCTCTACTTTCTCGAAATTATAACTGTCAACAGTGACGTGGGTGCCAAGGCGAGAATGTGCTGACTGTTTGTTTTTTGACAGGAGATACTTCGTCTTGTCCTCGTTTACCACCAGACCCATTCGATTTGCTTCTTTATCCAACTTGGAAAAGGCAGAACAGATTTCGCGGTTTTTGTTACCGATGATATCGATGTCATCGGCATAAGCAAGCAATTGCGCGCTCTTGTAGTAAATTGTTCCTGAGCGGTACAGTTCTTCAGAAGTCACATGAAAGAGAGTCGCCCTGTCTGACCATATTCTGCATAAGAGTTGATGCATGCATCTTACAACTCTTTGCCACTGTACTTGAATAGCTCAGCTGACAGGCTGTCAGTTTCAGCAGTTTTGTTGTTTTTCAGCCGCGTTATTGCTATTCGTACGTCCTCGCGATCAGGCGGAGGAACATCGACTCCGTCATCATCAACTGGGGGGATCGGGTTCTTCTTCTCCACAACTTTCCGAGCTGCTACAATTCAGTAGCGTTGAAAAGTGTTCCTTCCATAAAAACAAATACATATGTAAACAAATTGAAGGTATTGTAATTGACCGAGCTTAAGGCCAAAGTAGCCATAGCTCCTCCTACCTAGTCTATTATTTTAAATTATCAGACTAAGGTCTCTTCAAAATAAAAATCAATAAATTAATAATCTTGTATTGCTAGAGACCTGACTACCCAGGATAATTTTTAAGTTCTTAAAGGACCTTACTCTATTCAAAGCTTCGTACAATGGGCTGTGAGAATCTTTCAGGTATAGTCCAACCTTTCACAATATCTGCCCAAGGCAGTATGCAAACCTCTACCACATATGTGGTAAATCTATCACATATTTTTACAAATTTAAAAAATACCACATTTTTGGACAGAACATAACTCTAAAATTTCAACTCAATTCTAATAATAAATATTAAAATTATTCAATATATTTTTAAAATGGTACATCATGAATTTGGCTTTAAATATATCTTTAACAATGCCACTAAGTGCATTTTAAAATTTTCAGGCAATAGCCTCATGCGATTATCGATTATATTTTTTTGTTGTTTGTGTGGAATATTTTATTTTTATCAGTATTTTTCTTTTAATCAAAATATGCTGTAGGTTTTCTGAGCCCCGAGAAATGTAGGCAAAAAAAGGCTGTAATGGGGGTACCTGTGGTGTATGGTGAAATTCGAAAGCTCCTGCATGTCTATTCTTATATTGGCCCCGTGTGCACCTTGCTTGTTGTCCAGCCCGGAGGATTCAGCCAATGTCGTGGACATCCGATATAAGGGCAACACCAAGAAGAGCCTACACCAGCA